GCTCCCCACTAGCCATTTCCCTTCACGCCCCCCCTTCCCCCCGACACACACCGATTTTCCCACTCTGCAAAAGGCGAGATTTTTCTTGAAGCTAAATTGGGACAACCTTGGCATCTCAACAATCAATCACCAAGTCCTGTCACTCTACTTTCTAACATCTCTTAAATCCTTCCATCTCTTTCCAGCCCTACTCCCACCACCATAGTCCAATCTGCCAGGAGCGCTAATCTATCCAGGAACAGTAGTAGCCTTCACATAGAAGGTCCTCAGTAAATACAGTTTGCTTGGATGACTAGATAATCCCGACATCTTGATTTTGAGAATCCCATGCCTCTGCCTCACTTTGTTCTTCATTTCTCAGACTGAGAAACTTCTGTAGGTGGCAGCAGTCATCGCTTTGTTACAATGAAGCTCTCACTCCAAGTCCTTGAAGGAAGCCTCCCTCTGTATTGCTGGGCCCTAAGATCGTCCCTTGGCAGTTCTGGTAGCACAGTGGCTAAGACACTTGCCTGCTAACCAGATGGCTGGCGGTTCAAACCCACCAGCCACTCCTCGGAAGGAAGGTTGGGCAATCCTACTTCCGTAGTGATACTGCCTCGGAAACCCAAGGAGGGGTCGCTATGAGTCGGGGCCGAATCCACGGCACATAACAACAACAACAAGATCGTCCCTTACATCCTAAGCTTAGGGTGAATCCCAGAACTCATCCGCCTGAAACCTGAGGTCCAACCATGAGTTGCCAAATTTCCAGCTTTATCCTACTCATTTCAATAGTGTAGGTGCTATACAGTCAAACAAATGGAGTGTCAAACCCAGCCCCATTTCTCACCAATTATTTTGGCAAGTTATTTAACTTCTCAGAGCCTAATGCCGATAATAGCAGCACTTATCTACTGATTGTTGTGAGGAAAAAAATATTGAGAAGTGGGAAAGCACTTGGCCTAATGTCTGCCACCCCAGTAAATTCTCCACAGCAGTTGGAGGCCTTCAAATTTCTTGTGAGCTACTGTGCTATGCTTCCTATTTTTAAAAATTGTTACATTTGTAATACTTTTATACATTTATTTTAAATTTAGAATGTAAGCTTCATGTTCATTTTGTTTCTAACCAAGTAAACAATGTCCAGAATATGGAAGGCATTGAAAAAATATTTGATGCAAAACACAGGCATGTGAGCTGAACATTTATATTAGGTAGATACCCTCCTTGGAGGGATCAATCATGGGAGAATAAAAGGGCTGTTTACGCACAGGGAGACAGCTGAGGGGCAGGAGTGCATGGAGGGAAGGACACAGGGAAGAGGTAACTATGGGCAGGAAGTGGGAGGGGAGCTGTTGCATTGTGGTAAATTATAGTCAATGTCATGAGACAAACTGCATGCGAGCTGCTATATGGAAAGTCAATTTGCTCTGTAAACTTTCACCCAAATCACAATAAAAAAAAAATCTTTTTTTCCCCCTAAAGTCTATTTCCTATTTCTAGATACACTTTCTCATTTGCAGTTTCAGGTATTATTTTCATGATTGCCCCTCATACATATATACTTCTCATCTGTGGTTTATCATTTTTGTTAAAACACTAGTGAACATTTACATTATTATGACTTTGTAAATAGTAGCTATACCTGAACCATGTGTGATACATTGATTACAAATTTTTTTGGGGGTAATCAATCCAGATTGGACGATGGGGAAAGATGAAATTGAGAGATTTGATGTATTTGAACATACAAAATATTTTATACTCCTGATATAGGTATTGGCACTGAATTAATGATGCACATCCATATATCAAAAGTAAGCACATGAAAATTAAGGTTATTAACTATAGGAAATAAAAAAATGTACAATAAGCATAATAGCAGATTTATAGAGCATCTATTATGTATCTGACACTGTTCTAATATTTATGGAAAACACCTAGGGTGAGCTTCATAAAATTCTGAGGTACAATACAAAGAAAAGGAGTTGAGGTTTTGGGCTCAGGGGCCAATTTAGATTCCAGTCTAGCCTGTGCACTTAGTGGCTTCTTGACCTTAAGCAGTCACTCTGCTCTTAGAGATTGTTTCCCTATTCTTACAGAATACTTTGCAGGGTTGTATGGCGTAAACAAGTGCTCGGCACAATGCCTGGTCCACTTCAAATGTCCAATACACAGAAACTGTTATTCCAAGGGGACTTTCAACTTGCCGTATTGTCAAAAGGGAAAATATCAGTAAGAATAATCCAAAGAGAGATTTTTTTTTGGTGTGGGGTGTGGGAAGGGAGAAGCAGCAAACATGCAAGTTGCATTTTTATGAAAATATGAAGATAGGAAAAAGAAGTATGATTTCTCCTCTTAAGAAGTCAATTTCTACAGCTCAGGGGGCAGGAGTGTACGGAGGGATGGACACTGGGAAGAGGTAACTATGGGGAGGAAGTGGGAGGGGAGCTATTGCATTGTGGTAAACTGTGGTCAATAACATGAGACAAAGTATATGTGAACTGCTATATGGAAAGTAAATTTGCTCTGTAAATCTTCACCCAAATCACAATTAAAAAAGAAAAAAAAAACATAAAAAAAAGAGAACTCAATTTCTAATCAGTACACTGCCTGCTTTGGGATCAAAACTTCAAGAAAAACAAATCACAGAATATATTTTCAACTATATTACATCATTCATTTTTTCCAAGAGCCACTGACATCCCAGAATCCTCCTGGTATTAAGCTTCATATAACACATACACAGACCCTCTATATCAGCACTGCACTGTAACTTTCTGCAATGATAGTAAAATCTTCTATTTACATGGTCCAAAGCCACAGTCATTAGACACATATGGCTACCAAGTGTTTGAAATGTGGGTAGTGCAAATGAAGAAGTTAACTTTACACATTTAAAAAAATTTTAATGGATTTAAATATAGTCATGCAGTCCTTGACATCCTGTTGTTGTTGTTATGTGCCGTCGAGTCGGACCCAACTCATAGCGACCCATCCTTGGGTTGCTGAAGCAGTATCACTATGGAAGTAGATTGCCCCATCTTCCGTCCAAGGAGCTTGACATCCTATGTTCTATAAAACAGGGTGTTATGCAAACATACCTAAATTGCAAGTATTCACTGATTTTCCACCTTTACGTTTAGTAACTGTTTATTTTACTCCCAAATTGATACTTCTCCTGTGTCTCTTGCTGCCGTAATCACTAGCATTGGTCTAGTGGTTTAGCAGCATTTGGGAGCCATGATGTACTTCATAGTAATATTTTGAAAAAAAATCAAACAGATAACACTACAACACTCAAGAGACGTGCCATACATGAGACTGGATGCTGCTGCCTATGAGTTGAAGCATATGCTGTTATATGGCAAATTTTTTATTTAAGTAGGGAAAGTTCACATTAAAAGAACAATAAAGTACAGTACATATATAAGCCACTAACAAAGACATTTATTACGACTCTCAAGACGTATGTATTACAGGTTATATATGTACTGTACCATCATACATCTGGTAGCACAATCATTTTTGTACAAGAACTATGATACACATGTTGCGTGCAGGAAGCTGTTGCATTCACTATGTCCAGTTACTTTTCCTTTGTCTGTTCTCAGATTAGCTTTCCACAGATCTATGTGTGGTCAGCCATTACCCAAATGGATGTTATGCAGCGCATGACTGTAATCACATGTAGCTAGTAGCTACCAAATTGGACAAGTCAGCTCTAGGCTTTGGCTGCTCAGGCGCTTGTGAAAACAGTATACATTAAATTCCACAAGTTGTCTAAAGAGCTACTGTGTGATCATGTTAAAAAAAAAATAGCATCAGCTGTTGAAAACGATACATCAGCAAGCTTAGCAAGCATTGCCAGAGATGTACTGGACCCAAAAATGTTTGAAATCAGGATGCCATCCATTTCTCCATCCCATTTCTCTTGAATATTATGCAACATGGGAGAAAAAAAAAATCCAGTGACTCTCAAAACCCAAACAAAACTCAATCAGTTTTGGTTGTGGGACTTTGGACTCTATAGAAAAGCCACATCAGCAGGTGACCAGCACACTCCAGCATTTCAGGGCATCTTGACATTATTTAAGTCCCAGCCCTGACACCAGGTTCAGATATGGGTTTATTTCACCCTTCCCAGCAGTAGTACCCAACCCACAACAGGTGCTCCCTTAAAAAAGCAGGGGGTGTGTAGAAAACAAGGGGCCTGTTCTTATAAAACTCTAAATTTATTCAAAGCATTAAAAGATTTCACTCTTCCCTCCAAAATACTTTACATTTAAAAAAAAAATCAAAACTATTTTCTATGTTCTCAACCACTGTACAAGCTCCTGCTTCCCTTTCTTGGGACCAGCCCCTGACCCCAATCTTCTTACCCTCCCTCCTTCTACCCTTCCTCAATATTGCTATACATTTATTTTAAAACCCCTCCATCCCTTCTTTCCCCATGCCGTGCCCTGCCTGGTTTCCCTTCAGTGTTCCAGGCCTTTGGCTGCAGTTGAGGCAGGTCGAATGGGTCAGATAGGCAGGCAGTGCCCAAGAGGCAGGAGAACGCTTTGTGCTTCTGGGAGAATGACTAGTTGGCTTTTTTCTCAGTTAAGTGGACAATCTTTGTCCTTTTTGCCCATGGACACCTGTTCAGAGCCAAATATTTGGCTAGGTATAGCCCATGCCTGGCAAGCCCTGTCCTTTTTCCAGTTTCCTCAGGATAGGGCCATGACGGCTGGGTCTGTGCACTGTTAGGGACAAGAAGAGTGGCACATGACTAGGGTGGGGCTTGACAGAGCTCAAACTGTTCAAAGTGTGTACACCAAACCCTCAGAGGAGGAAGTTTTGGGTTTCTGGTGGGCAAGGCCAAGACCAGCCTGGACCATGAGAGGTAGGGATGTGGTGGGAAAGGTCTAACCACAGAACTCTAGGATGAGCAATGGTCCTTCTGACACAAACTCCCTCCCCTCTTCCATCTGGCCCTTCATCCTGTAGGTTCCAGGATGATTCCTGAAAGGAGGGAAAAAAAAGAACAAAGGGATTCTGTTCTGCTGATGAGAAAAAAGGCAGGCGGTGACAGAGTACTCAGGGTTGAGGGGAGGGCTGCTGGGACCTGTAGCTGTCACTGCTTCCCTGATCCATGAGGAAGGCTGAGGGGGCCAGAAGCCAGGCCCTCAGGGGCTTCATCAACTCCGTTCCTTGTCCTTGACTAATAAGACTGTGTGCTGGCCCCCACTGGACACAGACAAGACCACGCGGTTCTCCAACTGTTTGCCTGTCATCTCCACAGGGCTCCAGACATCCTCATCCTGCCCCGTGCCCAGCTGGTAGTTGGTGCCCATGCCCCAGGCGAAAGCACGACCTGCAAGGGAGACAAATTGGGGCAGCTATCTCCAGGATCCCCTGCCCCACCCATCCATACCGTGAGAAGTCTGGGATGGGGGGTGAATTCTGGCCTTAGCTTGCACCAGCCTGCCAGGTCTCAGCCCCTGGAGGTTCAGGAGAGCTGAGTGAAGCCAGGGACATGATAGATAAAAAAGAGCTTTATAAAGCCAGAGATCACAGTCCTTAAACATTGCAAAGGCTTTTCGCTGCTCCCATACATAGTATTGATGCCACCACATGACTGGCCACTTCCCAACCCTCTACACTGCCCCCCCCCCATTCTCCAGGACCAACTACCTTTGAGAAAGCTCCAGACAGTCCTCTGTCTAGAATGCCCTTCTTTTCTTTCTCATAAAGGATTGAAACTTTGAGGTACAGTGTAAGCCCCACTTCCTCAGGAAGCTTTCTTGGATAGGTCAGACCATATAACCCTCCACCCCCAAGACTTCTATCAGCCTCCACAGCTGTCCCACTCACTCACTTGCTCAGGCTTCAGTGCCACTTGTTCCTACTCTCCCTGTTGTGCTGGCCAGGACCCTGACTACTGAGCCTTCTCTGTCCTAGTAAGATTCTAAGTACAACTCTCTGGGAGGCTGGCACATCCTAGGTGCTAAATATAGCAAGACACTGTGGTGGAGGGTATAAACAGAAGCCTGGATTAGGGGCCTGGGGACCAGCGTTCAAGTCCCACTGCCATCTGGGCTTCAGTGCTATCTCCTCCCTTTGCTCTTTTTCTCTCCTACAGAACAAACTACCTTTTCTAAAATAATTTGTTTTCTGTTCATCAAAGCAAGAGCTTCTGAGAATCAGGAGGAAAACAGTGTTACTCCAAACACTGCTGTCCTTATCTCGGCTCTACTCATGGTGGACATATGAGCCTGCCAGGGAGTTTGGTTAAGAATTATGACCCCAAGCCGCAACCAGACCAATTGTGGGAAGCCCCACTTACCATCTTTGGTCACAGCATACCCCACAGAGGCCCCACAAGCCACTGAGGAGACAGCAGGCAGTCTGGGGATGAGGGTGGGTATGCTCTTCTCCTCAGCACCCTCCCCGAGGCCCAGCCGCCCATACTCAGCCCGGCCCAGGCTGTATGCTTTTCCTGTGGGAGGAGGGAAAGAGATGAGCAGTAGAAGGCGGCATGCTTCAGGCAAAGTAGGTGCTGTGGCCAGGTGAGTTCCCATGTTGGTGGGAGCTTGGCCTTTGCTTCCAGGATGGCTAGAAGGCATTCCGTCTCTTCCCAGTTTTGGAGGAGGCCTGGGAGAACTTCCACACAGGCCCTCACATAGCTCTCCAGTGAGCTCACACTTGCAAGAGCCCCAGGACTCCGGGGGGAGGGAGGTGGCCTCACGGACCCATGTCTGGCCCAACCCACAGAGCAGGCCTAGGTTCCAAGCACATGGTCTTTTGGTCTTTGGAGTCTAGTCAGGACTAAGCCCAGGGAACACGCCATCCTCAACCCAGAGAAGACCTGGAGGTCCCACCTTCTGAATCCATGCAGACCGTATGGTGCTGGCCACCAGAGAAGCCCACCCAGGACTTGGTGGAATTCTTGAAAGATGTCAGGTTCTGGGGTACAAAGCAAGATTCTGTGCCTGGAGTTCCTGAGGATGAGGGAGAGAAGGCCAAGACAGATCTGTCCGGAATGAAGGTGTTTAAGGAGTTGCCCTTCTCAGCCCCTCCCCAAGTGAGGTCATCCCCCACCAGCTAGGAATATTCTCACTTTACAAATGACAAAACTATGGCTCTCAGGGGTGAGGTAATCCCGCCAAGGGTAAACGACAACAGAGTTGAGGAGTAAGGATTAGGACCCAGGTTGCTCTAGGTGATGCCTGAGGCTAGACGCCACACTCACCAAGCTGATGGTAGTTGGAGAGACCAAAGCCATATATGTGGCCCTCCCGGGAGACAGCAAAAGTAAAGTAGGCACCACAGAAGACGTCCTGAAACTTCACATAGCCCCGGCTACCCCTGGATTTCAGCTTCACACACTTGGGGACAAGGAGTCGTTCTGTAGTCAAAAGGGAAGCCAGAGTGAGCGGCAGACAGACCCATGTAGCCCTTTTTCCCTCTACCTCCCTCAGCCCATTTCTTTTCTCTAACTTAAACCCTAGGAGGGAAACCAACCAGAGAACAGAAAGCTCACAGAAGAGGAAACGGATGACCACAGAGTACAAGTGTCTTGATTGGACTCCCAGCAACTGTTAGCCATTGCTGTTAGGTGCCATTGAGTTGACTTTGGCTCACAGCCGCCCCATGTGACACAGAAGAACTGCCCCACAGGGTGTTCCAGGCTGTGATTTTCCTGGGAGCACATTGCCAGGTCTTTCTCCTGCAGAGCCTCTGGGGGGTTCTGAACTGCTAACCTTCTGATCAGCAGCCAAGTAATTAACTGTTGTGCCACCAGGGCTCCTTCCCACAGCCACAGAGATGACATTTGCATGGAGTTTGCAACATGCCAGGTACTTTTCTATGTTAACTCGTTTAACTTCACAACCACTCGATGAGGTAGGTACTAATATTATCTACATGAGAAGACTATGTCCAGGGTTCCATAGCTAGTAGGTAGTAGAAACAGTATTTAAATCCAGGGTAGACTGGTTCAAAAGTCTGAGCTCTTAACCACCACCCCAGGTCTGTCTGATGTCACAGCCTGAGCAGCTAGAGGGAATCTCTCTCCTCTCCTGCCTTGAGCCCTCACTGGGTGGGTGGCTTGCCAAGCTGCCCCACCAAAATTGCCAAAGCCACCTACCAAGACCGTGCCGGCCACCACGGTTAGAGAATAATTCAGGCACCCGGCCCAACTGGCCCTGCTCGCCACATCCCAAGGTGTAGAGGTCACCATCAGCTGACAACAGCACCAAGTGGTCATTCCCTGAAGGTGAACAGATGAACGTTCTTAGAAGGTGAGGGATGTAAGGCTTGCCAAGCCCAGGGTTGGGCCAGCCCTAGAACAGAGTACCTTGGCTCACCTGAGGCCACCTTTACCACGGGCACATCTAGCTGCACTTGCACAGGCACCATGCTCTTCTTCATGGGCTCCAAGAGCCCAATCACTCCATTATTGTCCTGCAGGAGAAGCGGAGCACTTCTCAGCCAATCCTGCTTGCCTGCCTCTCACCAGCCCAATCCAGGCATGTAGGCAGCCACTGGTTAAAGGCAGTGGTGGGATGGGGATGGAGAGGTGAGAAGCCAGACCACATACTGAAATACTTATATGAATGAATAACAAAGGAGTCAGGAAGTAGAAAGGAATAGAGATGAAACAAGTCTGGCCACGTGCTGCGAACTGCTGAGGCTCTGTGGTGAGTAGATGGGGGGGGGGTTCAGTATATTATTCTAATTATTTCCGTATGTGTTTGAAACTCTCCGTAACATTTTTAGAAAATAGCTCCCTTTTTTATAAACTAGAAAAACCTCATGAGATTTCTTTACTTTTGACATTTTGAAATAAATTAAAGGCCAAAGCACCAAAGCACTTTTAATGCTGAATCTGCTTTTTAAATTACACTCCTCTGTTTTGTAAACTGAGATGTGACAATCCCTTCAACTTCCCAAATTCTAGGGATATGGGGAAAGAGGGCTGGGAAGGGGAAACAAAGGCTGGAGGCAGGGAGATGGGTGAAGGGAGCAGGCCCACTTTATAACATCAGAGTCAAAGAAGCAGTGAGACAGTGAGGACAAGCATGGCTGAAAAAGCCAGAGATATGGGCCCTGACTTCCCCACCAGCAAGTGCCATGGGGGCATATATTATCTTTGGGGTCCCACTGGTTAACTCTACCCACAGGCCCCATGCAGTGTTCCAGACCAGCCTTACCCGGAAGGAGCCCCAGAGGAAGACACGGCCATCCTCGGTGAGAGCCGCTGTGTGGCTGTCTCCTGCCGATACCTGTACCACCTTCTCCTGCAGGTCCACTTTCCCGGGGACCATCTCTGAGCCTTCCACTGATGTGTCCCTTCCCAGGGCACCCTCATCATTGCAGCCAAAGGAATAGACCTGCGCCAGGAGAACCCCATTAGTACAAGGTCTGGCCTCTCAATCCCTTCTTGTTTAGTCCAGTCCCAGATGGCTAGGAGGGCCACTTCCAGAGAAATGTGTGTGGCCTAAAGCCCCAAGTATCCCCCCAACCAATGCCCTGTCCAATCACCCCCAACCTACCTGGCCAGTCTTGCTTAGACACACAGTGTGCATGCCTCCAGCCTCAGCCTGAACAACATCCTCTGGAATGGGCACCAGGGCTGGCTTCTTCCTCTCCATCACATTCTCACCCAGCCCTAGCTGGCCCACGTCACCCTGGCCCAGTGTCAACACCATGCCTGGTTCTGTGCTGTGGGATCTATGAGAGACTGAGGTACAAAAAAAGACAGCCCCTGAGTGAGAGGAATGACAGAAGAAAGCAGTTACTGCTGGGGCTTTGGGATAACGGAGACCTGGGTTCAAGGCCCCGCTATGACCTTTCTGATCCCATTTTACAGGAAAAAAGTACCTATCTCACAGGGCTTTCATGGAAATTAATAACTGAGCACATTATTAACATGATAGGAGGTGACAGAAACAAGACAGCATAATATTTTGAAATGAAACTTGGTGAGGAGGAGAAGAGGAGCCAATCCTGGGAGGACACAGGATAGTTTCTCTGATTAACTTTTTGGTCAGGAGCCATAGTACCAACAGTCAGGGCCCAGATAATAACGCCTTCCCTTTACTGCCAGCTTACTCTACGAATGTTAAATTTCTTTGGAATTCCCCCAAATTATGCTCCAGATCATCCATATTTAGGATCGCGTTTGATAATAAAGGGGAGAGAGTCTCCGAGGCCTTAAATGACGGACCACACAACGGTAAATAGTGGAGCTTGCACCGAAACCAATAGAGATTACATGGGTCAGATTACAGTCCCCAGCCTCCATCCTAGCCACCTCCCCCCACCCCGCTCCAGCCCCATTTCCTTGCTATGGCTGTCAACTACTGAACATATTCGCAGAACTGACTAACCCCTTCCACCCCTATCCTGGGAGCAGACAGAAGTTGAAGAGAAGGGGGTAGAACTGATAGCAGAGGCGTTTGTGAAGAGAGGTATGGGCCAATCACGGGCGACACAAGGCCCTATCCTGGTCAATAGAAGCTGCCAGGCCAAGGCCCCGGACAGCCATTGGCGTCCAGCCCTCCGCCCCGGGGGTGTGGCCGCGGCTGCGTAGAGGCTACGCTGGGCAGGGAGCCACCTGGTCGGGTTTTCCGGTCAGGAGGGCTCGGGCCGCAGGCACCTCGGCAGGAGCCGGCGCCGGGAACGCAGTGGGAGGCGGCGGCCCTCACTGCCTGGTTACGAGGGTCTGCAAAAGACAGACAACTGTCTGAGCATGCAGCGGGCCCACATTTCCCCCCTTTCCCCGGACTGGGGGCGGATTTCTTTCCTCCCACCCACCTCCAGGCTCCCAGGAGAGAGGAAACCACAGTCACCTCCCAAATGCACAACAGCCCTTCATTTTATGAACGGGGTCATCTAACCTCAGCGAGGTTAAGTGATTCCCTAAAGTCACACAGTCAGAAAGTTGCAGAGCTAGAACTTGAACCCGGGCCTAGAAGTCAATGATCCTAATCGTAATGCACTACTGCCTGGGCCAAAGCCCTGGGATCTAGTTTTTCCAGTACTCCCAGTACCTCTTCATTCCCAGAGGGAGGGATTCAATGGGCTGTAGGGGACCCTCCAGCTGAGTGGAGACCCTGTCCCAGATCCTGGAGCTCCAGGAGGCCGGCCACCTGCACCCAGATTCCTACACAGCTACCCCACCTTACCCTTTACTTTCTTGCTTTTGGGGGTGGCATCTTCTGGGGGTGATCTTCTCTTAGCTATGCGCTTGGGTGGCATCTTCCTCTCCTGAAAAACCCAGCCAAACACATCATGTAAGAAAAGGCAAACCTTTTCTTGCTCCTATCAGACAGCATATATTAGAAGCCCCCAAAAAGGTAAAGAGGAACTGCCAACAATTCCACTTCTTGGAATTTATCCCAAGAAAAGAATAATGGATGCACCCAAAGGCTGAGCTTCAACAAATATTCTCTACTGCATTCTTCACAACATTAAAAACAAAACAAACAAAAAATGGAATAATCCAGATGCTCAAAAGTAGGGGTTGGCTAGATAATATGTGGTATATTCATGATACAATACTGAGGCCATTAACAGTGATGGATTTATTGAACAGGGAGGACTTTACTAGATCTTCACAACTGCAAGTAAAACAAGCAGACTGAAAAAGAGCCTGCCATCCCACTTTTGGAAAAATAAATACACATACACATAAGAAGATACACAGAACAAGGCAATAATGATAATGATACATCCAATATTAATACATGGTAACCTCTGTAAAACTGGATTATGGATAGCTTTTATTTTTTCCTTTGTGCTTTCCTATATTATCTAAGATGTTTAATAAGAGACATCACATTTTTTTAATTATTTTATTATAAAACATATAAACATTGAAGGATGACATTAAATGAAGTGCCCCTATAACTCTCCAACCCAAGATACAGTAATAACTATTACCGTTATAATCAGACAAAAAAAAAAAAAGAGAGGGATATTTTCATTAAATAACATCAAACCAGACCACTCCTGCTATTTGATCCAGAAGCGTCACTCGTGGAAGGAGGTTGGCTTTGATTTAAACTGTCCAACAAGAGGTTAAAAAAAAAAAATACAGCCATGCTTATATATATATCAACACCAGGTATTACAAAAGAGGGAGAAGAAATCACTTTTGGGTGACAAGAAAAAAAGACTGAACCTAGTAAAACCCAGGGCAGCTGAAAATCTCAACCCTCAGCCCCACCCCTCCTTGAATTGGCTGCTGCCACATCCTCCCATGTCTTATCTGGGCTTCTGAGAACAGGAATAATCTCCCAGCTGCCCAGATTCCAATCCAGCCCAAATTTTATCTGAAGCCTCCTTCTCATCTACACCCCATCTCTGGAAATAAATCTTTATTAAACTCTGGTCTTTAAGACCACAGAAGACATGAAAATGTCTAACCCTGAGACTTCCAAACCCTGGACTGTGAACCCCTTGGAATGGATCGTTGGGGGTGGGGGCACTTTGCAGCAATTCAGATAGAGAGGTGCTTACAGCATTAGGTGGTTACTAAAGTCTGTCATTTGTCATATTGTAGTGGCTTCCAGATTGCTGTGATTCCGGAAGCTTATGCCACTGTAATTTAAAATACCAGCAGGGTCACCTATGGTGGACAGGTTTCAGTAGAGCTTCTAGACTAAGACAGACTACGAAGACAGGCCTAGTGATCTACTTCTGAAAATTAGTCAGTGTGAACTCTACCACAGAATATTGTTTGATAACCAGAAGGTTGGCAGTTCAAACCCACCAAACACTCCGTGGAAGGAAGACTGGGCAATCTACTTCTGTAAAGCTTTACTGCCTCAGAAATCCAAAGGGGGTTTGAAATATGAGTTGGAATTGACTCGATAGGAGTGAGTTTTTTTTTTTTTTCTTTTAGTCAAGAAAATGAGCGCCTCAGGTTGGAAGGACACAATAGTCACCAATGGGCTTGAACATACCAACGTTCACGGAGATGGCAGGACCAGGCAATGTTTCATTCTGTCACTAGCAATATTCTAGCTATTTGACCTTGGGTAATTCAACCTCTTTGTGATTCCGTCTTCTCATCAGCAAAAAAAGATAATGATACAGTGAAACCTGTGAAAGCTGGAACTTGATGGGACTGTCTTGTTTTTCCAGGTCTCCCAGGCTTACCACTGCTCTATCACTTTTTTTAGTGGAAAATATTTCAGTCTTCCATCTCTGACAGATTTCCACCTTTCACAGGTTCTATCTTTTTCAGGTTTTACTGCAGTACCTGAAAGCTTTACTCCAACACATCATTAAAGTCGAGTCTACTTTGAGGAAGCAGCTTTTCTCCAGTTGTAGTTTGAGTGCCTTCCAACCAGGGCTCACCTTCCAGCACTATATCAGACAATGTTTCAGGGCTATTCATAAAGTTTTCCAGTAATACAGCAGATGGTGTCTCATAGCTATTCATAAGGTTTTCAATGGCCAATGTTTTCAGAAGTGGATGGCCCTGTCCTTCTTCCTTTACAGCAACATGGAAGCCACCACAGTACAACTCAAAATGGGAAGAAACAGCTACAAACATCCATTAATAATAGGAACATGGAATGTACAAAGTATGAATCTAGGAAAATTAGAAGTTGTCAAAAATGAAATGGAATGCATAAAAATCGTTATCTTAGGCATAGTGAGCTAAAATAGACTGGTTTGGGCTATTTTGAATCACCACATGATGTACTATGCCAGGAATGACAAATTGAAAAAGAATGGCATGGCCTTCATCATCACAAAAAATGTTTCAAGATCTATCCTGAAATACAATGCTGTCAGTGATAGGATAATATCCATACACCCACAAGGAAGACCAGTTAATACTATTATTCAAATTTACACACCAACCACCAAAGCCAAAGACAAGGAAATTGAAGATTTTTACCAACTTCTGCAGTCTGAAATTGACCAAACATGCAATCAAGATGTACTGATTATTACTGGTGATTGGAATACAAAAGTTGCAAATAAGAATCATTGGTAGTTGGAAAGTATGGCCTTGGTGACAGAAATGACACTGGAGATCACATAACAGAATTCTGCAAGACTAACAACTTATTCATTGCAAATACCTTTTATCAACAACAAATGGCAGCTATACATGTGGAGCTCGCCAGATGGAATACACAGGTATCAGAATGACAACATTTATGCCAAGAGGTGATGGAGAAGCTCACTATCTTCAGCCAAAACAAGGCCAGGAGCTGACTGTGGAATGGACCATCAATTGCTCCTATGCAAGTTCACACTGAAGCTGAAGACAATTAAAACATGTCCACAAGAGCCAAAATATGACCTTGATTATATCACACTTGAATTCAGAGACCATCTGAAGAATAGATTTGACTCACTGAACACCAATGACCAAAAACCAGAGAAACTGTGGGATGACATAAAGAACATCATCTACATCATCCATGAAAACATTTACACTAGGTAGATACACTCTGTGGTAGTCAAAGTTGTATGTCAACTTGGTTGGGCCTGGCTGAGTGGCTGGGCAGCTGGTGGTAGTTATTTTCCATGATAAGACTGGCAATCAACTCCATGGTGGGACCTACCACAAGCAGCTGAGTAGCTACTTTAGGAATGAAGTTGGTTTCCCAAATATAAGAAGCAGCTTTGGGAATGGTCTCTAGCTTATGGCACGCTTGCACCCTACATGTAGCCGTGTCATTGTTTAGCAGCCTACCATGCTCTGCCGACCTGGGGACTTTCAATGGACTTGAATTAATGGCCTGCCATGTGGTTTGGTAACATCAGGACTATGCCTTTTTACTTGTCAACCTTTGGCTTGTCAGTCTCAGTAGCCAGCAGCTGTCTGAGGGAAGAAAAGCCTCTAGCTCCAGTGGGCCAGGAACAAGAGGCAGAGCTGAACCCCAAGGCTGAGGGGCTTTCACCCAGCCCCTAGAGCCTGGCTCTTTGAACTTGGACTTAAAGCCTCCAAACTGTAAGAGAAAAAACTCCTGTTTGTTAAGGCCATCCCATTGGTGGTATATTCCTATCAGAGTGGAACTAGGTAACCAGAACATAACTCCTTGGAGAGAACAATCATGGGAGAATAGAAGGGCTGTGTATGCACAGGGAGACAGTTCAGGGGGCAAGAGTGCACGGAGGGAAGGACACAGGGAAGAGGTAACTATGGGGAGGAAGTGGGTGGGTGGCTGTTGCATTGTGGTAAATTGTAGTCAATGTCATGAGACAAAGTATATGTGAACTGCTGTATGGAAAGTGAATTTGCTTTGTAAACTTTCACCCAAATCACAATAAAATAAAAAAAGAACATCATCCATGAAGAAAGCAAAAGGTCATTAAAAACACAGGAAAGAAATAAAAGATCAAAATAGATGTTAGAAGAGACTCTGAAACATGCTCTTGAATGGAGAGTAGCTAAAGTGAATGGAAGAATCGACAGGATAAAAGAGCTGAACAGAAGATTTCAATGAGCAGCTTGAGAAGACAAAGTCAATTATTATAATGAAATGTGCAAAGACCTGGAGTTGAAAACCACACTGGAAGAACATGGTGAGCATTTCTCAAGCTAAAGGAACTGAAGAAAAAATTCAAACCTTGAGTTGCAATATTGAAAGATTCTATGGACAAAATATTGAATGATGCAGGAAACAACAAAGAAGATGGAAAGAATACACAGTCACTGTACCAAAAAGAACTGGTTGATGTTCATCTATTTCAGGAAGTGGCATATGATCAACGGTATTGAAAGAAAAAGTTGAAGCTGCAAAGAAGGAATTGGAGAAAAACAAGGCTCTAAGGATAGACAGAATTCCCACTGACAAGTTTCAACAGACAGATGCCATGTCGGAAGCACTTACTCGTCTATGCCAAGAAATCTGGAAAACAGCCACTTGGCCAAGTGACTGGAAGAGATCCATATTTGTACCCATTAAAAAGAAAGGTGATCCCACAAAATGTGGAAATTATCAAACAATATCATTAATATCGCACACAAGTAAAATTCTGCTTAAGATAATTAAAAAGGAGCTGCAGTAGTATAATGACCGTGAACTTCCAGAAATGCAAGCTGGATTCAGAAGAGGACATGGAACGAGTGATATCATTGGTGATGTCAGATGGATCTTGGCTGAAAGCAAAGAATATAGAAAGATGTTTATTTGTGTTTTATTGACTATGCAAAAGCACTCGACTGTGTGGATCATAACAAATTATGGATAGCACCGAGTAGAACAGGAATTCCAGAACACTTAATTGTGCTCATG